TTTCCAACTGTCAAATTTAAGTGCAAATTCACCAAAAGGGACACAGCCTAAGTCATACACCCAAATAAGCGTTTGATACCCTTTGGAAAACAGAATTTAGTGTATACAATTCAGGAATGTTCCGGGTTTCTCTGTGATAGTGATCAGAATATGAAATTAAGCTATTCAAACTTATACGAGACAGGCATTTGGCATAATCAGATTTTTCATTTCAATATGATTATTTTTCACAAGAGTAACTTTTTTAAATGGCAAGCCTAAAAATGGATTTTATTTTTCAAAAAAATATAACTTGAAAATGGTTTATCTGATCACAATGGCATCTTAAAAGAAGTTGTAGAAAATGTCAGGTCAATATCTTGAAAAACAACAAACCCCGAGCAGAATAAAAAATAGCCATGTTTTGATAATTTGAATACCTTCCGATAATCTGCTTCTATAATGTAGTTTCAATAACACAAATCCAATATGTGAACATCTATTAAATTTTAAATCAAACAACCCTTCAAATTGGTAGGTCAAGAACAAACATAACTTGTTTGGCTGCGGAGTAATCTCAATTCAAAGTATGTTGAAATGATTTTTCAACCTGAAAGAACCTGGACTCACTCATTTGATTATATCTTATAAACCATACATCAAAATCCTTTCATTTTCTTAACGAATATTTTAGATGGTTATTATAATAACTGGAAAAAAATTCAGGTAAATATCTTGAAAAATAATAAAAGCCGAGCGGTATGAAAAATAGCCATTTTTGGTTAATTTGGGTACCTACCGATAATCTGCTTCTACACTGTAGTTTCAATACTGCGAATCAAATGTGTGTACATTTATTGAATTTAACATTAAAAAACATTCAAATTGATAGGACCAGGACACAAATAACTTGTTTGGTTGTGGAATAATCCTTATTCAAAGATATAACATTCAAAATTAAAAAAAAAACAGAGTTGTAACCCAGAAGGTTCCCAGCACTTTTGAGCAAAATCCAAAAAGGAGTTAATTAACCATAACTCTGTGTACACTTGAGCTGGAATGACCCATGTGTTAATTATTCAAAGAACTTTTGAAAAAATGGCTATTTTTCAAATCTTGGAAGGAAACGTGTTTCTGCCATAATGTTAGGCATTTGGCGACCTTATTTTACAAATCCGAATATTCTCCTTTGATTTCATAGAGAGTCTATACTCTTGTCTCCCTTCCTTGTTGCGCAAAAATAAGGTGTACCATGATCACATTAATTGCCAATAGTTACGATCCTTCATCATACCGATGCGAAATAAAGACTAAAAACGTTAAAAGCATAAAGTTTAGTAATATGAGGAAGTTGCTTAGATTGAAGGTTGGGTTTAGACCATTCAAATTCAAACAAATTGATTACTATCCAAAAAATTGCACGGGTTCCAATTTTTGGGACGTTCAAATTTTAAATTAATTTTCATAACAGTCAGAATTGGAGTCAGAGTCGGGACTTTTTTATTTCCGACTCCAACTCCGAATTATTTTGCTTAAAAAAAATCATCCAACTCCGACTCCGATTGTACAATTAATTTTACGTTACATATTTGTTTACTTTCCATGATTTATGTCGAATTTGAATTACTTCACGAGTAAAATAGATATTTCTAAGTGAATACGTGTGCTTTTTTTAACTTTATTTTTTAGATTTTTAGCCGTAGGCTAGTTCATCTCGTAGAGTATAAGTGTACTATTTTTCTACTAATTTTGTAAGTTTGAAATTCTAAAAAATATTCCACGTTTGAGATTTTACATCTTTTGCAAAGTTCAAGTTCTTCAAAATTGCCAAAGACTAGGAGCTTCTTTAATTTTCGGTATCCAATATCCCAAAAAAATGTTTAATTCGAATTTATGTCTGCTTTAAAATGATGAAGCTAGAAAAAAAACATTAGCTAGGATATAATCAAACGATTACTTTTGCTTGTAAATAGTGGTTATTATTATGCTAGTAAAAAAAATACTTCAATCCGTAGCCATGGTGGTCGGTTTTTAGGTTCGTGTTTACCACCTCCTTTCCTTTTCAATCAATCTTTTCACGTTTTCTGTCACAAAGTAATTGAAATAGATCTTTGTGTTAAGATTTGAGTAGAAATTTTCAATTGGACGCAATTTAGATACATATATAGGATTGAAACCTTGGTTATTACAGATTACAGGTATCGATAAGAGTTTGATTTCATTCATCGTCCTCCTTTCGAAATTCTTGCGAATGGAACGATGCAAGGTCAGCTCAAAACAATGCATATTTTCCTCATGGTATTTCTTTATAAACCGAGACACTTGTTGCAAATTTTTGCTGCTTCTCTCTGGACTTCAAAATATTTGCATCCAACTCCAAATTTACGTGGTTGTATTTTTCCTCCTACGAAACCAAATGAAATCAAAGATGACCACTTCTAGGCCAAATAGGATAAAAAAGTAAAAATGTATGACTGGACCTTTTCCGATTTGCATGAAGTTTTGCATAATTATGTGTTATGGGCAATCATTCACATTTTTTGCAAAAATTCGGCCATTTTGGATCTTGTATTTTTTTTAATGGCATATTTGACATTTTTCAAAAAATTGTAGCACGAAAAACGTCACTTCTGATCGAAATGACGCTTGAGACAAAGTTGTTTAGAAAAGTAAAGTCTTTCTGGGGATAATAAACACGGTATTTTTTTTTATAATTTTGAGTAAAAATCCAAACAAGTGTTAAAAATTAAAATTTCTCGAAAAACAAATCTTCAATCTTTAAAATTTATTTTTTAAATAAAGTTCGTGAATCATGCAAACTTTAGAAGTTCTTAACATCATGTAAATCAGAGACGGTCGCGTTTTTCCGAAAGACTGCTCAGATGCCATTGTGCCTAAATTTGTCTTCTAAGTTCACCACAGCGAAAGAATATCGAAAAAAAATATACTCACGCAAATTTAAAGTCGGAAGAAATTAACAAATATTCGCATGGAGTATTCCCACTTTTTCAGCCTGAACTACAGAAAATCTATGTACTAATCCAAGATTAGAAAGGGTATGTGAACAGTAAATATGGCAGGGCATTTCAAGATTCATCACTTTACGAAAAAGATAACCATAATCAAACAATCAAATTTCAATTATTTTTACTATTGAAATTCGAGTACATTAAAAATGATTGTTAAATTTTTGTACCTAAAAAATATAAATTTAGATTTTTAACGAACATTATAACAATGACAATGTATGTTATAGGACTAAATTGGTTTGAGAAAACCAGTTTTTGTATGCTTATCAACCCCACTTTTCTACTGTAAATTTCCTAAATATCATGATTTTCATTATTTAACATGCATTTCGTTGTGATGTCATGGTAATCAGCCGGCGCCGGTGGTGTAGTGGTAAGCGTGACTGCTTTCTCACCCCAATGGGTCTGGGTTCAATCCCAACCGAGGTCGGTGGGATTTTTCTGAGGCATAAAAATCTCTGATCACGTCTTCCTACGGAAGGGAAGTAAAGCCGTTGGTCCCGGCCCATGTGTGTTGAATGGGTGCGATATCCTACGCAGGTGTGGCCTTCCTGCACATTCGATTGCCGTCAATGGATGGCAATCGATGTCCGTCGGTGATTGGCACTAGATTGCGGAACAGAGACCGACGTTAAAAAAAGGAAGGTCATGGTAATCGACAAAAATTTCCAATGTTTTTACAGTAAATGTCATGGTTACAATGACAATGACAATATTTGTATTTGCATTGGATTTTTTTTTCATCGCATAAAAAAATCCGCGTAAAATTTCTACTTTTCTTAATGCAACGTTCATAAAATAAAAACACCATCGCTTATTTTATAAGTCTGAAATCTGAAAATCATGCTTTCTTAAAGTATTACATTAGGTTGACTTAAGAATAGATTATTGTCTAAAAAATGGATGCTTGGTTATAGATTCAAAAGGAATTTTAAATTCGCTTATTCAATTCTGAGATATTCAATGACATCAGTTGAAAATGTGATTTGTGTATTTAATAAACAAACCGCACAACATCAATAACAAATATATTTCCCCCAAAAATATCTACTCTGATCTCATAGTAAACTGACCCGTACGTACACGTGTAGTCAGATATTCAACGTAAACAACGCAGATCAAAAAATCACAATACATCACGAGACAATGTACATCCGATGACCATTCGCTATCCGTTCGGATCATCGACTAAACTCAGGTTGTTGCCCCGTAACGTGGGTAGATCACCTTTTCGTGGTACGTTACGGGATGTAAGATCTACCACCGATTCCTAGTCCTAACTTCTTCAAACTAGGGGAACAGGATTTTTCAGTAATCAAAGGAACACATCTTAGTCCTTGTTACTTTTTATGCCTTGTTGATAGTGATAAGTCCTCGGGTTGCCTGGACCGAGGATGATCTTGAAACAAGGGAAAAATGAGTTAGTTAGTCTTCATCTATGTGATTCCTAATCTTCTAATCGTTGTTCCCTAGTTTGAAGTGGTTAAGACTAGGGTTCTGATGCATGGTCATTATCGGTGTCATAGCTTGTTTTTGTTGTTAAGGAATCCAATTTTGACTGACAAAGGGGCGCGCCTTTGGAGGGTGTTCCAACTCCGAAGGGTATAAATAGCGGAACCTTTCAGTTAGAATCGATTCCTTGCGATGAAGGCAAGAATGACAACTGTATCAAAACCGAATACTTCATCATTTCTCAATAGTGATGGAGTAATACGACATGGACTAAACTAAGGACACGGGATATACTACAATAGATCAAATTACTGGTCGCAGTGGTGTTATGTTCCGAACAGAGTAAAAAAAAAACTCAGGTTCGTGTTTGCATTTAGTCATAAATCCCATACACAGTTACCCAGCTAAATTATTCTTCATAAGTGATTAAATAGACTTTTCAACTTAATCTGCCATTAGAACCATTGTATTTGAAATTGATCTCCCAAAATTAAAAGCGCAGACACACACACACACTTAATTGTCATAACTGTTACTCACTTTTCCTATTAAATATTTATCACAATTTCTGCTAATCACAGCTAATCGATTTTTCAAATCTGCTTCCAATCTGCGCCTTCCGTTCGCAGACAAATGATCACAGATTACTAGCGCAGTAAACTCATACACTTCCTCTCACTTTTCGCGCAACAATCCCATCCAGAAATCATCAATCAACGTTCGCTGCTGCGCTCTGGCGTGGACCGGTGGTGGCTGGTGGCCTTCGGAGTGCAGTGCAATCTTTTTTTTCGTCGACAAAGAGCACAAATTGTATGTTGGCTTTCGCGATCTCTCTAGGACCCGTTCACGCTAGATGTAAAACTTTGTCACAATTAACTTAAACTTTTGAAATAATCCACCACGCGATCCGATCGTATCCAACTCCACCACCGCACTAAACCCGAAAAGTTTGTTTACCTTTGCTTTTATAACGATCATACCTTCTCTCGCAAAGCTCTCAAGTCGACCGTACGTCTGCCGGAGCGGTTTGTTAGTTTTACCTGTCCATCGAGCGAGGCAACGTAGCTTTTTCAATGTATAATCCTTGCAATGCTCTCACCCACCCATGCTGCCCATTCCAGGTGCGCGCGCGACGAGAGATCACATGTTTTTGTTCTCTCACGTGCGCTTATAAAAACAGAGAAAACCATGAGAGAGCAGCGATCGACTGAAGAGGAAGGAAGAATCCACTCGATCGGGGAAATCCACTGCTATAGGTGGAATTTTTGGAAAGATTGTATTTTATTCCAATCTACGACTAGGTGAGAACGAAGCAAAAAACCAGTTAATGATCGTATGCATGTAAACATCAGCGTATACACTGTAGTAGGTAGTCACGTCAATTGGGTTAGTTGAGTAGTTGAGTACCTTGCCAATAAGTCATGCATGTGTTTTATCTTCGTTATTTAACTGGTTGGAACCAGTATTTACGATCGAGTTGCGCTACGATAGGGTTGGGAAATTTGGAAAATCCCGCCGATTCACGAATAACCTGCTTTGGCTACGCAAGTTTTTTTCATGTTGGTAATGTTTTCACGACTTCAATGTGGAAAGAATTTAAATTTATAATGTGTAGTGTATAAATTAAAGATTATGTCAGTGACGTCGCGTAATCTTACATTTTACCTGTTCTTCGGCTTTAAATACGTAATTTATATTCACATTTGTATCCAAATCGAATCCAATTTGCCTGGAGTTTTCTAGTTTAAATGATTTGTAGATATTTAAATAAAACATTTTTTTCATTATTTTACGTTTTTAAAGACGAAGCACAGGTAAAAAGTGAGGTAACGCGACGAAACTGGATAATGTCAAGCAGTGTTATCTGGCACAGAGTTAATTAAAAATCATCTTTTCTACAAACAAAACGGATCAAATTTCAATTTCGAATGGCAACGAACACCTCTCAGATAGCAAATTAATCACAGCTTCAAAGCTAGAGTTTTGATCTGAGCGATAGCTGCGCTTCCCTTAGTCGACCACGACCACCAAGTCACCGGATCTCAAAGGTTTTACTGGTTGGAACCACTTGGTGCATGGCTGGTAAACAGGTGGTCAATGCGTACCTGTAGTTTTAAAATAGACCCTAATGTGACAGGCTGGGTGGTGGGGCGACCCCGGCGTAGTGGTTAACATCCATACCTCTCACGCCAAAGTCACGAGTTCAAATCTCACCCCCGTACAAGTCACGAATGACCCAAGAGTGTTAAAGTGACTATAATAAAAAAAAAAAAAAAAAAAAAGCAGGCTGGGTATGAAAACTAACCCCGGTGAGACCTTGGTCGTATGCTGTCAGGGAAGGGGGCTCCTCTCTCCGGAAAGCGCAGCTTATCCGAGCATCTGTACTACATGTTAGGGGCGGCTCGAAACAGCGACTATTCCACCTGTTAGGAACGGCTGATCATCGTCCTCGTGCCAGCGTGGGACTCTAAATAGAACTGTGCACGATTGGCCTCTGGCAAGACTTGTTGGCAGCCATCGTTGCAAACAATACTGAAAAAATTACGGACGACAGCAAAGGTCACGGAGGCCTTAGCCGGACTTGTAAGGTAAGTATCCATTGGTGCATTGGGTTAACGAGGTTAACGTAGGCAGGTATTAGGTTACTACGCAAATTGCCAACTGGCAGAGCAGTCTACGCAATACTCCTCCGGAAAGTGAGAGCTGATCCGGAATTGATGGAATTAGAGGAGAACGTGGTGAAAACCAGGTGCACCCAGAAAGGCGAGATGCTTTTCGAGTTGAAGAAAGATTCTACGGTGAAGAGGACAGCCTTCAAGGAACTCGTCGAAAAGTCTCTTGGCGGAGGGGCGAGCGTAAGAGGTCTATCCCACGAGACAGTGGTCGAGTGCAGGGATCAGGACGAGAGACAGAGCGTGAGCTGAGAAGTGCGTTGAAGATACACTGAGAAACACTTGGAAAGCATTCAATATCTTATAGATACCATTCCATAATGTGCATGTGGTCAAGAGGCTCTCAGATACCGATGTTCAGTACTTTTTCTCAAGGCTTTCATTGAGCCTGTAGAACTTCAAGATCTTAGTTCCATAATAATTTGAAGCACAGTAAATATCTTTATGATATTGTCAGAAGTCTCTCTTAAGCTTCATGGACTCATAAAGATTTTCAGGACATTGATCAAAACAATATTGAACCAATGTAACTTCTTTCAGCAATTCAAAATTCTGACATTTGGCAGCATTTTGCTGAATAAACTATTAAATTCAGTAAATTGAATTTGTTCTCACTATATGAGCTTCCAGCTTCTGTAAAAGATCGTTGATACAAATTTACGAATAATAAAGATAAAATCGCCAGACTCTTTTCCAAGTATCATTTATTAAATATAACCAGTGTCCGAGCCAGTGTCCTTACCTACATAATTTTATTTATTTGTAGTTTTTTTTACCTCTTCCTCCTCCTGCGGTTTGACCGGTGGTGTATGAATGCAAAAATACTTGCGACTGTGATGCTAACAGTTTGACAGCTCTTTGACTGGGTGTTAGTTTATGTTAGCTGATTTTTTCGGTAAAAATATCGTTTGCTGTTTTTCAGTAAAGCATTGGTTTGCTGATCATGATCCAGTAATTCGTTTTACAGATAATGAAAACTTAAATTTGGTGTGTAGGGAGAGAGAAAAACCGCACACAGTAGGCTAGCGAATAGGAACAAACACACAGAAACAGAAATAAAACGAATTTTCTACAAATCAAGCTGAACATTGCATTAGGTCCTAAGTAACATTGACAGATTCTCTTCGTCGACTTTCTCTTTGTATCCATACGGCCATCTTAAGACATTCCCAGGTATTTTCAGCACACATATCGATAATAGAAGCTTTCATCTAGCATCTAATACGACAAATACAACAAGAAACGGTTATGTGCTCAAGTTATTAATGAAAGAGAAAGTCGATGAAGAGAATCGATCAATGTTACTTAGGACCTAGTGCAATATTCAGCTTGAAATGTAAATAAACAGTATCATCGTTCATGTTATAAATAATGTTGTTTTCCCGTTCCAAATCTCTCTAGCTTTAATTAATTGAATGTGTTTGACATCACTCCGCGTTCGTGTTAGTTTTCGTTGCCCGTCCTCTTGTTGAGTTTGAATGGTGGGAAGTACATTCCACTACCAGATAAGGGAGACGTCTAGCGGCAGGTGACGGGACTGGCCGATGATGAGAAGTTCTCTCTCGTAGAGTTTTAGGGTATGCGTGAGCTCTACCGTTTCTCTGAGTGACTATCTTGAGTGTGAATTCATGGGGATAATAGGAAATTCCCGTTTGGTCGTTTAGTTGGAAGCTGTCTGGAACGATCCGTAAATCCTTTCTATGAATTATCCCTTGTGGAGTGGCGCTTAAGCCACGCGCATTTAAACTGGATCATCCGAGCTAGCTACAATGTACATAACAAACCTCATCCAGTCTATTTTGGAGAACTTTAAAAGACTTCAGGGTCTTAAAATCATTATTATCCTCGTATGGAGATTGTTCCTACGAAAGGTAATGTTGAAAGGCGCTCTGATATTGCATTCAATTGAGTTTACGTCTTCAGTGAAGTTTCTTGGATTAATTTAGGATTACAATTTGGTGGATAAAAATAGTTCAAGTTTTGGCCGCAAAGATGGCACAACGATACATTTTTTTTATTTCGCATGCTAGAGGTTTGTCTTTGGCAAATTTGTAGAATATAGAATTTTATGAAAAGTTGACCAAAACTTAAAGGCTGTACATCTTCAACAACTGAGATATACAAAGTTTGATTAAATTTTCCTGAAATTCAAGTTTTTCATTCCAAAGAATACTTTTATAATTTTTCCTCGATCGGCACTGATCAATTCAATCTTTTCCAAATCAATGATATATTTTTAGGGTTCTGATAAATATATATCACATTAAATTTGAAAAGAATACATGATTTTCTGAATAAATTATCTGATCAATGCACAAGTGAACATAAAATGTCATCAATTATTCAAAATGTACATCAAACCGACTTTAATTCCTCAAATTATATCAGAGGTTATTTTAGATATTCGCAAGCAAATTTTATAAAGCTTCGAATATCTCAGTTGTCTTCAGATGTACAGATTTTATGTGCAAATCATCTTTTCGTAAAACTCTACATTCATCAACTTTGCCCCAGACAGAACATCTCTAGCATGCGAAATAAAAAAGTTTGTATTCAGAGTTGGTTGGAAATGCTAACATGAAGCTTTAGTGTGATAATTTATTAGCTAGAGAATGATCTTTAGAAGAGGGTAGGTGGACAGTTCCGTTAGAGTACGGCAGTATGAAAATTGAATAGAAGTTGAAAATGAGCGAAGGGCCATTAATGCGACAGTTTTTAAAGTCAAACGCACATCTTTTGCCTAACCCGTACGATGTACGCGGAGACTTGAAGTATGTCTGTATTTCTGTTTGTATTGCTGTGCCATATTTGCGACCAAAACTTGAACTACTTTTATCCATCAAATTGTAGTCCTAATGAATACAAGAAACTTCACCGAACACGTCAACTTAATTGGATGCAATCTCAGAGCGTTATTATTATTTTTTGACGTAGGACTACGTCTGTCATTTCTATATGGAGGTACACTTTGTGAAAACCGAAAATGGAACATGTAACAAAATTATGAAAGATTTTGAACGTTAATAACTCAGCTGCCCCTGGATTAATTTCATTAATTTTATCACCAATCAGTCAGATATATTTCTACGCACCTGTAAATTTCAGACTTTACAATTTTTCAAAATGTCACTATTGAAAATTGCGTGAATGTGCAACTGTTGCGTTAAAATTATCACTGATTGCGTGCTAAAAG